GGCCATTTCCACACCTGAAATTTCCAGCTTCACAAGGTGGACCTACAATAAATAGAAATGGCTTAATTTAGGAGATGCAGATAAGAATATACATGTATCATTCACAGTAGCTTAAAAAGCATCCTTGCTACCACAGGAGTCCTGAGAGTACTCTTACTAAAAATATAAAGTCCCCCTCAGCACTCCGAAAAAAACCATTATTTACACTAAGAAATAACCACATTCAAAGTACAAGAGAGGAGGATAAGAATTATGCACTTTAAAAAATTACTATGAAAACTAAAGTTTCATTTATGATAACAAAACAATCTCCTGACTCCTTAATAGAGGTGAAAATTACAGTAATTAAGGGGAAACAGATGCAGGACTTTAATTTTCAACAACTGACAACTTAATACAGTGTGACCACTTAATACAGGTTCTGCTGTAATTCTCAAGAAAGACTTTGTTCACTGTGCCTCATGCTTTGGTTTGGCCACCATAACCCATTACACCCTGACATCAATATGCAAATTCTCTGTACTTTTGTCTTTACATTTCCTAAGGTGCTGACAAGGAGAATTGGTTTAATAATCGAGAGAGTCTTTAGTCGGTGATCACTTCCTTTACTCTCCTGACCTTAATGTGTGATTCAGGGGTGATATTGTAAGGAGAATTTAGATGCTGGTCACTCTTAGGGGTCAAAGGGGTAAAGCTTCCATTGCACAAGAAGAAAGATCTGTAGAAATCATTGTTGGTTAAAAAAAAAAAAACGTAGTTTCTCCCCACAGGAGGCACAACAGCCCAGTGGTAGGTGGATACTTTTGACCTTACCTGGTTCACAGTCATGTTCATCTGACATGTCTCCGCAGTCATAATCCCTGTCACATCTCCACTCCATAGCAATACACTCCTTTCCATTAGCACAGCTGAAGTCATGGCTGGCACAGGTATGATTTGCTGTAAGATTGTTCATATGTATTAATTTTTGTCTTAAAAAATAGTTTTGTCAGTGCCGCGTACACAGCAGTGAATGTTTAGAAAAGCTAATATCCATTTGTTCCAGTAACTCACTTCAGGGGAATAAAAACTGATGAACACTGGGGCACAGAAGCAGATACTCAAAAAGGAGTACCACAACTCTAGTGAACCAGATACAACATGCAGAAACAGTGCTTTCAATATGACCCAGCACCCACCCTAGCTCTGGCTCATATTCAGTTGTAATCACCGGGTATACTTTGGATGCTTTCAAGCAAACTCACAAAGTGAGTCCTAAAACACCTCAAGATCTTCTAGAGTTCTTTCAGTCAACTTTTACTTTTATAAACAAATTTTGATAAAAATGATTAATATTGTCTTATCATATATTCATGCATACATTTCATACATTTCCAGCAGATAAAACAATTAATTAGTTGAAACAATTGTTATTACAGAGTCGAATATTTAACAATCATCTACAGAACTAACACCAAAAACTATGTTTGAAGCCAGTTTATTCTGAATGGAAGTAATGGATAAGTGGAAAATTTCTTTTTAGATTTTTCTCCGCTGAGCAGGTGCTTTACCAAGGTAGCCACCTTCAAATCTTATTGAAAGCACTGAGAAAAGAACACTGTGAAAAAGATTTCCACTCCTGCATGGGTCTTGTCAGCCACAAGTGACACTGTTTCATCAATTCAGATGTCCAATACAGCTAAAATGTATCACTCATGGTCAAGCCTACCTGACAGGAGCCTCATAATTATTAATAACTGTAATATCTACTTATAGTGATAAAAATCATATCAGTTGTGTAATTTTATGTACTGGCACATGGTAATTATGATGAATAACCCACCACAATCCACTTCATCACTGCCATCATCACACTCTTCCTTGCCATCACACTGCCAGCGTGTAGGTATACAGCGCAATTTATCGGCACATTGGAATTGGGAACTGGAACATGTTGTTGCTTCCACTATTGGAACAAATATTATCACATTAACCCTTTAAACCCAAGAGTGACTGGCATCTAATTTCTCCCAACAATATGAATCCTGAATTACACACTCTGGTAATGAGAATACATAAAATGGTCACCAGGGTAGGAACCTTTTGATTGGCAAACAAATTCTCCCTGTCAGCACCTTTGGAAATGTATAAAGAACAATGTGGAGATTATGCATACTGGTCTTAGGGTGTAAAGGGTTGAAAGCTTGTGAATATGTGTAAAATAATCAACAAAAATTTAAAACACTTCACAGATGCTTACAAAGCCAGTTTTGAAAAGCATAACAGATGTAAGTTTCTAAAGAAACTATGGTGCTGCATCAGTGAGGGAAATTACAAGATAATTTGGCTTTATTAACTGAGTTATTAATATAATATACTGTAAATTGGAGACAGTATTGAGATTCTGAAGCTGATGCTTCTTGCATGAATCTCATTTCCTGGCCTGAGTCTCTTGTTGCAAGCAAAGGGCCTTCACTGAGACACTGCATCATTTACCAACCCCACTTAAAAGATCAGCCCAATTTCTTAGCAACCACCCTGTCTCTGGTGAAAATTTAAGATTTAAGGTCGCCAAATTGTCACTTTGAAAAAAGTTGTGCTTGGAACACTACCTTAACTTTTCTTGTGAGGCCTGTATATTTCCACAGAAACCAATTCATATACACTCATTCTAGAAATATCAAACTCACAACAATCCTTTTCATCTTCACCATCCTGACAGTCAATATCATCATCACACTGCCATGTTTTAGGGATACACCTGTTATTGCATGCAAACTGCAGTGGTGAACAAGTCCTTCCACCTGGAAAATAACCACATAAAAAAGTTTGAAACACAGGTACTACTTTGTGTCACCTTACAATAAATACTTGAACACCCAAGATCTAATTGATGATTCTCTCCTCCAGCTATTATACATTTCCTTGTAACTTAATTACAAGAATTTGGTTTTTGATCTAGATGACAACTTATATGTGATAAGTAAGGGTAGTCTTATCACCTGTTTGCTGGATGATGTGTGGATGGCACAGGGAGAAGTTACAAGTAAATCACTTCTGGGGGTTAAATGCTTAACAGACAAGGATGCCAGACAATATTCTTAAATTATGTTTTGTGTGTACATTGATTGGAAGCTACATACCTGATTTTGTTTGGGCACAAAGTTATCTATTTGGTCATGATAATAATAATAATTGCATGATAGCTTTTACACAGATTTCAAAAAATTGCACCTACCGACCTAGCTAGAGACAAATCTTTTTTAAGGTGCAGAGTTATTGAAAAATTCAGAAAAAAAATTTGAAGACTTTTTTATTTGATTCTGACAGGTCAGTTGTTAACTCACCAATAACAATAAAGCTTAGAACACGCAAGAGTACCTCAAAACCACAAACTGATTACCACTGCCACTTGCAGTTTAGCATTTCTTATGCCTGATGGGCTTTTTCATCGGACACACACATACAAGAGTAATCAAGGGTAATCAATAAGTGCTAGTCCAGCTACCTCAAATTCTGCATGAGGTGCCTACATTCTGAAAGATATTGTGTGTAATGGAAAAAAGTCACAGAAGGAAGCACAGGGTACTGATTTCTCAATTTGTGTTTTTGTTTATCACTCCATCTCTTGCAAATACTGAGTACCACTAGTTCTTTCCTTCTGAAGGTTGTCACAATGATTTGGGCTGAAATCTATGATCAATATTTAGTTGTACATGGATAGTATAAACTGAGACCCCGGAAAGCAACTAGAACTGTCAGTCATCTACTCAACGCAGCTTGCCATCTATTTCCTGGCTTATCAAGAACCTATTATCAAATTATCCCAATAACATAGTAAAGAAAAAAAGAAAAAAGTCGATTACATGCAAAAATGTAAACAACTAACCACAGTTTTCTTCATCGCTGCCATCAGAGCAGTCCGGAAAGTCATCACACTTCCATGACTTATCAATGCAGCTTAATCCATCTTTACAGGGGAACTGTGAAGGATGACAGCCCTTTCCTGAGACAAAATGAAAAAGATATCATGATGTTGAACTGTAAGTTCATTATACACTACACCTGTACAACTGGTAGTGCAATTTGGTGTTAATAAACACAAGTAAATTTTTCAAAGACAACAAAATTGCACAAGCCTGTAGGATGAGAACAATTTGTAGTCTTTGAAATATTTGCATGTGCTTTTTAACACCAAATTTCACAAGAAATCATGTTGTTATTTGTTAACAATTTACATGAAATACGTATCACAGAAAGTCCAGACAGACAAAATTTTGGCAGCATGCACATGCTATTTGTAATTTGCACTCTTTTTACAATTTTGTACATGTGTTACAATCTAGGTGGAGAAGGCATTGTAAAGTAATGTATTTTTGAAAAGAACCCAACACATGGACCCAGCCAGGTCTTAAAGAGGAGGACATTGAGGTCTAAAAGTACTAACAAATTTGATCAAAACCAATAAATTTTCACATCCCAGTAATCAAAAAATCCCAATGACCCTCTCCTTGAACCCAGACCTCACAACCCAGAGATCACGGCATAAAACCTTTAGGACTCTGCATCTCCTTCTTCAACTGAGTGTAGCTAACAGGTTTCCATTAGTGTCAAGTAAATCTTATCAGAGTCAAAAGGATGCACCCTGATTATGATAAATAAATCTAAAAGGGATCAAGACAAAAAAAATCAAGTAATAGAACTATACCTTTTGATAAAATGCAAACTTTCAGGTTTTAAGCTAATTTGGCAATTTTATTTCATGTTGCCATCAATAGCATTGTAATGGGCAAGTCAAATAAGAACTTGAACAAATGCTTTTATCTTTTACACCCTAACATCAATATACATATTCTCCATACTGTTCGCTATACATTTCCTTAGGTACTGACAAGGAGAATTTGTTTATCAATCAAAGTTTCTTCACTTAGCAATCTAATCATTTCGTAGGTCAACAGTTATTTCCTTTACTCTAGTCATCTTAATAATTAATTACTCAGGAGTATTATTGCTATGGGGGAAAATTAGATGCTAGTCACACTTAGGGTTCCAAGGATTAAATTACCCACACCACTATCACAAGTCAGGAACAACCTTTTGAATCTTAAAAAACATCACACCTGTTTTCTAAGAGCTCTGGACCCAGCTGTTTGAAAGATGATCAGTGCCGACCCAAGGTTAAATTTTAATCTGGATTTATTTTTCCTTTTTGGGATAGTTTCGGGTGTTCTTTTTAGAACATCAAATAATCATATTCTAGACAAAAAGAATTTGACTGAATTTTCTTTTAAAGCTATCAGATCTGAAACAGATTTCACACTAACCCTTGGTTATCTTAACTTAGCTTTGAACAACCTGGCCCTGAATGATGGACAGAGGCAACAACCAAATAATGAATGAACAAACAACTCACTCACTGCATGATGCTTATCAATTTGTTGATAAGAAAAGTAAAGGAAGAAATAAATCCTTTTACCCTTTTACTCCCAAGATCAAATTATTGATTCTCCCCTCAAGCTGCTACACATTTCCTTGTAAAATGGTAACGAGAATTTGGTGTTCGATCATGATAACAACTTCTACCTGATAAGTTTGAATATTCTCATTACCTATTTGCTAGATAATGTAAGGATATTATAGGGAGAAGTTTCATGTTGATCACTTCTGGTAGTCAAAGGGTTAGAAGGAAGAGAAAGAGGGAGACACTCAAAGAGAATATTTCATACTGGTAGATCACATCTTTGGGAGCTTAGAACCAAAGAAAATTTGAAACCAATGGTTAGCCATAAAGAAAGCTTTTACCTCACAGAGAAGGAGTGCTTTAGAAAGAGATATGTACACACATTCATTTATTAACATATAAATACCCAAGGTTGTACAGAAACCAGAAAACTGAAAAGTTCTTATTCACCTAAATAAAAATTTGTCAAAACTGCCAACAACTTAGGCAAAAAATATAAGAATGTTGCCCTTGCAATGTGCAAACTTTCTTAAAATAACACTTGGCAATATATTTAATAGTAACATACCTCCATATAATAATAATAATGGCAGCAAAAGAGATAATATGATTTTAAAAACAAAACAAAGCAAACATGCTGTTGGATGACATGAAATCAAGATATAATTTTACAAAAAAACCCTTACACATATTTATGAGATTTTCAACTAGAAATGATGATAAAAAACTAGAATTTTGTCACACATATTTTAAACAGACTTGTATATAAAAAAATAGGACACAGATAGGTCAATATCATTTGTCAATATACATGCCACATACACAATACAAATTCTTAATTTCCGCAGCTGTCAAATTCACAATTATGTTCAAACAAGTAAGCATGATTTACAATCTAAACCTTTTTAAGGCTGAATCAACTGTTTGCAAATAAAGGTATTTTGCAAGATTTAACAAATGAAAGAAAATATCCACAACAAATGTCTACTGTTTAAAGTTTTCTTGAGTTTAAAAACTTTTTTTTATGTTGTTAGAATACTTGAGTTAACAAACTATTTACATGTTGTTGTTAAAATATTGATATGTAATGATATTTTTAAGAGTGAAAAGTCCCAGCTACCAAATCTAAACTTCTTACAATTTTAGTAAGCTTTAAAAGCCAAGGACCAATAATTTTTGAGGAATAAATATCTATGGTCCCTTCAGGGTTTACAATGAATCCCTTTAAATTTTCCATGCCACTTAATTTAAATACTTTGAAAGAAACTGACTTCCACAAAATATGTTCGTTTAACAGGGATTAAAAAAAAAGGCTGAGTGGCAAATGTGTCCCGCATGCCTTTTTTTTCTTTTTTTTAACTGTCCATGAAAATATTATTTGCGCATTTAAATAATATTTTTTTGACATAAAAATTCACGTGAAAGTCAAGTTGTCAATTTCGTCACCTGTTATTAAAACTTACGCATATTATTTATTCGTTAGAATTTTCCCGTATATTTATAGGTATTTTAGCTTCAGTATACACAAAAACTTTGTAAATGATTCATTTTTATAAGCGTTTGTTAAAAACTAATTCGCACTTTCCAAACCTAAACAATAGCTCGAGGGCTTCCTTTGCTGGCTCATTAATATGTTTTGATCGATATCTTGAACACGTGTTTTGAGCTTTGCGAGGTTTTTGTAAAATTACTAAACGAATGGAAGGGATTAGTCAAGTCAAGTTAAGCTCTCTTGCCTTGATTGATGGTGGAAATTCGAAGAAACACAACTCAGATGTGACAACTAAGGTTGTGACCTTTCGTAAGCTCCACCATGAGATTGATTAGTCGTTTTGAACACTCACACGACATATCGTAATACTATGCACAAACTCTTTGCTTCACGAACATACAAAATATTGCTTGGGATACCAAGAAGGAGACATGTAACGTCAAAATAGCGGCGTTCAGAGGATTAAAACGGGACAAAACGGGATGAAACTGCAAAAGTTAACTGCGTTTGTGTTTCAGTCAGTGCTAATGGACTTATGACTTACCGTACGCGAGTTGTACACAGCAAAGATAAGTCCACAAAACTACCACAAGTATTGCATACTGAGCAAATCGCGCAAAATCCATAGCTTTCAATTCTTGTGCTGTTCACTTTCATGAGTTACGACGGCATTGTATAGGAAAATGAAGAGAAGATGAGTAGTCAAACCGCTAGGCTTCGCCGAAGCCAGAAGCCGTGAACTCCAAGTCGCACCACAGTACAACCACTTTAAGGCACGCGGGCTTTTAAGTATGCAAATATTCTCCAGTTAGTGTGCCTTGCCACTTATCACTATTAAATCTTTACAAATATAGACATCGGAATTTTCTAACTTCTGATTTTAGATCAGCAAGAAGACAAGCATTTACAAAACTGTTATGACTGTGAAGTTGATCAACATCACACCAGGAATCACGCGGAACTCTGGTAAATCTGGCTTTCCATGTGCAGTAATTTCCATGTTTCAGTAGTGTCGGGTTTAATTCCGGCACCGTAAAAAAGAAAAATTCAAGTCCCGTGACTGAGATCGAATGAAAGTAAGATTTTGCAAGCGAACGAAGTGATTTTCGGTCACGGGACGTCAAGCGTGCATTTCACGTTTTCTAGTTAAATGTTCTTTGACCACAATCTAAGCATCCATCCTTGTGGTTTTACTAAAGGTTTTGGAACAGTGCTGTCGCCCTCTAAGATCGAGAGCAGTAATTGTATATAAATGACTACAGGCAAAGGTCTGCACTTTAGATCATGTTAGCTCTAAAGTTCAACTGAATAGTGAGAATAGTTCTGGCTCACGTTTACTCACCGGCAAGAACATAATTTTTGAGCATTCGAATGGCCTTGCATGCCTGACGAATTCATTGATATTCGTCCCATGTCAGAGATCGGTGCCCCTAAGGATTCTCGCATCGTACGAGGCTAAGTAGTGTGTTCAGATCGATAGCCCTTGATAAAACTTTGCCCATCAATGCACAGTGTTAACCTTGGGTTAATTATTAATGATGAAGTTCTGATGTAGCGACGAGCGGAGAAATCGTTTAAAACTTTAAAAGTTTGTCAGCGACATCTAAAATGAGCTATGCTTAATTCAGAACAAAAAAAGACAAAAGTAAACCGATGATAATATTTAGTGATATATTTCTATTATTTAGAATTAATAATATCTGAAGCATTCCTCTTTGAAGAGGGTTTTTCTCTAATTTTTCCAATGAGATTGTCAGAATTTTTTGCAAATGTTTTACACCACAAATATGCCTGAGGACTGGAATATTGTCTATCATATCTAATCAGAGCACTCGCGTTTTTGCTATCTTTATGGCGATCAATGAACTAATCCAGTTCTAAGATTGTGAATTTAGTGAATTCCACAATCAATACGAGCTGGTTAGAAAACCATTTGAAATTGAACTTCACCCTCTTTGGATGGCTTCGACCAAATGCCACGCCTTATTTCAAAGGCTCGACCGAGTTTTCGCTCAGTCACGCCCATGCCCTCGCTCATCAAAGACATAGAATATAGAGGGAGTGATTGTGAATGCTGATGAGCTCAAACGACCAGGTGGCCCGTTTAGAGGGAGGAATTACATATGACGTTCAAATGCGAGTTTGCACAGGTTACATGGCTAAAAGTTCGGCCCGACTTGTAGGATTCGTTGGAGAAATATCCTGCTCCGAGTTAGGGGAACGAATTCTGGTCATCGAATCGATTACTCCATGTCGGTTGAAAATATCTGCTCGAACGTGAAATTTCATCGAAGTCCCACTCGATGAACAAGAAGAGGAAAGGCACTCAGTTGCATCCCCATCGCCCACACTGAGACTGAAGCCAGTTCATAAGGGACATTCTCGAGGTACATCTCGGTTACAAAAACCAAAGGTAAATCCAGCTAGGGTCAAGGTCCAGAGGATTCATTAAAAACACCCTGCTGGCGCCGATGATATTCAAAAACAGTGACCGTCCAGTGTCTCAGGAGTAACAATAGCTTCATTTTTTCGATAAGTGTCTAACGATTATGTAATAGTCGGCTGTGCCGCAAGGCGTAAGCGAAACACTAGAGCCAGCTCGCAGGCTAAACAGACGGCGGTAAAAGGTTTATGGCCAGCGGTTGGGCCGGCCTCGATTTTGCTTGGCAACTCTTAGCATTTAGAGCAGGGTTTTGCGGTTTTAACAACTTCGAGCAAATTTTTGCCTATCCGGAGCAATTTTTGAGCTGATGATAGGTTTAGAGAACATATCAAGTACGGAAAAGTCGACTATCTAAAAAACGTGTAGCCGTACCCTCCCCCCACCAAGGTGAAACGGAGGCGAGGCTTCCGTTTTTAGCTAAAATGACGTTCCGCTGGACGTCAAATGATCGTTGTATTTTGTTCCGTTAGACTGAAGTATGTAACCTTAAATGTCGCCCATATTTACGTGAAACTCTTTAAAGATAAGTTTCCAGCTACTTTTTCTTGACCGATGTTAGCAATTATTGTGAATAACGAAAAATAAAGCCTTTGACGTTGATCTCAAAATATCAAGACATGTATGTAGCAACTTTAGAAAGTTAAGTAGAAACTTATTGGATTTTCAGAAATTTGTTGGCAACTTTTTTGGCATTCCAATGAGCAACTTTTCAGCATTTTACGAACACAATCGGCTAGCGGCGGTGCAGTAGACCACCGGTTTATATAATTAACCAGCTTTCATTCAAACCCTTGGGGCCCGCTTCTCAAAAGTCCCGTTAAGTTAACGGGCCCAAAGCCATATTTTGAACTCAAAATTTAAAGAATAGAGAAACAAGTTCTGGCTCCCTCAGTATTCCATTTTGTTTCTTTAGTTGACAGTTTTATTGCAAAACTTACAAAACTTTTCAAACCATCCGATCTTGAATGAAAATACATCAGCTTTACGGGCCCGTTAAGTTGCCGGAACCTTCAAGAAACGGGCCCCTGGACCTCGGTGTCTCAATGATAGGCCGTCAAACTAACAAAAACGTGTAATATGGTCATAAATACTGATCATGACGTCAAATAATGTAATTATGTAAGTATAGAATGTCCAGACGGCAATTTTAATTCAGTCCCGACTCAGGAGATCTCATACGCTGGGCTAGTTTGTAACAAGTTTCTGTGAACCTATAAAACTATATACATTCAAGTCTGATCGATGACATACTTTTTAAATTTGTTTTCCTCATCTAATCAATCTTGTCAGTATGGCTAGTTCACAGTGCTTCCTTCAACGTCATTTACAAATTGGCGTCACATAATGATAACTTTTTATTTCGATTTTTTGCTATAAAATTATATTCCTTATCTATAGTTTTAACCTTTGAGAGCCGATTGTTATGTAGACCTCAAAATATTCCCTTCCATTTGTAATCAAAACTGAGATCACAAGGTGCCGGGGAAGAATCCATTATGATATCTTGTGGTGGTCCATTATTAATTACATGCATGCTTTAATATTTTCTCGCGATTTTAATTGGGTATTCCAGGATTTCTTTTGAGATTTCCCGGCCATTATATATTTAGGTGATAATGAGATAAATAAATAAAATGGAATATTCATGCAAAATATCGTCAATTTAAAAGGCGAAAATACGTCGGGCACATGACTTTGGTCGATCGCCACGATCAGCATAAAAAACCACACAGGGCGTCTCCGTTTCCGGAGTATGCACGTGCGCTGATGTACGAGTATCAAGCAGCTCTTTTTAAAGGAATTGTTTTGACTATCTATGAGAAGACGCCCATATCTTAGAATAATACCATCTACCATCTACGACGTCACTTTTGAGGGAAACGGAGATTATCTTCTACAAAATGCCGGAATTGTTCCTAAATATTAACAGGGGAATAACACTCTCACAAAAGATGATGGTATTAGCGACACCTAGGCTTAAAAAAATATATGATATCCTGTCGGTTCACAACAACAGGAAGTAGACGTAATAGGTACCTTTTGGGATCTTTTATTCAAATTTTGACGCGTACATAGGATAGTCACTTTAATTTAATCTTAAAATCATCGTGAAACGTACATGTATATATCTTTCTATCCGGCTCTGTACAACTACAGGAGCCCATCACCTACGATAATAAAGCTACGATGATCTACGGTAAATTAAATACATAGATAAATAAGTACTAAATACATGAAAAAAATGACATATTTTGAAAAATGCCAAGTGTCGTGTTCCTTTGTTCTCCATCATACGTTCTGTGAAAGTATTTAAGGGAAAACAGCATGTATGAGTTACCAAGCGGATTCATATGGTTAATATTCAGTTCCCGGAAAACGCAAAAAAGAGAAACCATGTGATCAGGTGGGCCACGCGGTGGCTAATTAAATCATGAGATGCCCTAAACATTTCACATTATGGTTCACGTACTGAAAAAGAAAAAAAAACTTAACACATACTTTCTATTTTGAGTTTCCCAAACAATTCGTAACAGCAGAAGCGATTGAAGGAAATAAAATTTAATCACCCTAATTTCTCTCCTAAAACTATACTCTTTGTATTTATGAGAACCTGTGAACCGTTTTGCTTGTTTCATCGAAACACGGACAAAATAATTGGCCAGCATCAAGCCATATAACCTGACGTTTATCACGGTGGTTAAATTATTTTTTATCATCTAGAGGTAAATGAACTATGAATGACTTACGCCAGCCAATGTACTGTGGCGCGTGACGTTCCTCATCGCCGGTAGCAAAAATCTACGAGCGTGAACTTTAGTCACTACCACATACAGCAGACTGTTTTTCCGAGAACAGCATAGCCTCCGACCCAGGCTTCTCACAGCCATGCAGTACCCCACAAGACCGTGAGCGCTTTTCATTCAAAAAAAAATTTGGAATTATCACCGGTCGACTGGTCGAAAAGAACGCGTCCTATACGCTAGTATTTGAGGTCGCGTGCTCTGTATCACTAAGCATGCCGAGTGCATTTCGTTGTGTTTCGAAATGGCGGACGTTTTGAACATTTTCGCGGCAGAAGAACCATACAGTTCTCGAAGCCAGTTCTGCCTCGGCCTTTCTCACCACAGCTAACAGTTTTTGAAGGCAAAACTAGGGTGGGGTGTACTCTTAGACACCCTTTCTTATTTACGTTCGCGTATATAAAGTATATCATAGTTATTAAATCATCACAGCTTCTTTCTCAGATTAAGTTTACACCGAAGTACATTTTTCTGTATTCGTGGTTAATCCTGCAGTCCTGCACAGTTTGACATCAGATTCTTGTGCCTTTGACAAATGAGAACACGAATCCGTTTTAAGACCGTTCCGGTTCGGCCGCTGCTTCAGAGATTGTGCTCGAATGACAAACCAGAAGACGAATCCGTTTCAAAACCGTTCCGGTTTGGCCACTGCTTCAGAGATTGTGCTCGAATGACAAACCGAAAGACGAATCCGTTTTAAGACCGTTTTTACTCGAATGTTTAAAAATACGAAATCGGAAAAAAAAAAAAAAAAAGAGCTTCTTCTGTGGGTAAAACATAAAAGTTCCTTTAATAGGACGGGTTCAGTCGGATAGCTCCTCACCCTATATCTGACACCGAGAAAAATTAAAATATTCTGATCAGCATATTTTTGTTTATTTGCTGGAATCTATTTCAATTTCTTTCGATCCATTTTTTTTTGTCGGAGATTGCTCTTCTCATAGGAATCGCTTGTTTCATTTTTCTTATTTTTTTTCTTCTTTCTTTCTTTCTTCAATTTTTTTTTGTTTATTTTTTGTGGAAATGTCAGATGATCGGTTGCTCCCATCGATGTAAATTTGTTGGTTGTGGAAATCCTTATGGCAACTCCCAGGCTGCCAAGCAGGCATACACACATGTAACAACTTCAAGGTACCGACCCAAGCAAAAACTACAAGAGGTCAGAGAGCATCTCCAGTCTTGATTATCTGACGAGTCAAGGTTTAACTCCAGTATCTGGATGG